AGGCTGAGTTCCAGCTACTTGACAGGCTACTTGCTTGAGCGTGGGAGGTCAAGGCTGCAGTGAGCCATGATCACACCATCCAGCCTGAGTAATAGGAAAAGATCCTGTCTCAAATAAAAAAAAAAAATAGGGCATTAACAAAGAACATCATGGGTGGCTCGGTTCCCCAGGACTAGCCCCCAAAGCAAACCAGCTTCATTAATGCAGTCTTGATTTTTATAATATGATTTGATTTGGTACAGTTTTATACATTTGCTACTATTGCAACTTCCAGAACAAGAGGGAAAGTAGGTAAAACTGAGCTTATGTGACTTGACGTCAAACATGGCAAAAATGATTTGAAATAGTTTGTTGTATTCCTAATAATGAGTAATAGGAAATTATCACAGGATTGAATAAATGAATGTCTCCAACTTTGTCAATGAGTCTCAATTTTAAAAAAGAGGCACGGTCTGGACTCAGGTGTGTTTTGTAATCATAGTTCTCATTAACTTTATTCTGTTACACAATGCAGACAGCGACGCAGGTGTGCTCTGTGTGCATGCAGCTCCCTTGTGAGGGTAGCTGCTGTTTCCTCTTCTAAAGTTACTGAACGTGCCACCCTACCACAGGACACTCTACTAATCTCAGTGGAACACAGTACATGTTTTCCAGAAACAAAAGTGGGAGAGAACAACAGGACAAAGGGCTGCATTCAGAGCCCAGAGAAGAGAAGAGATGGTTATCCCTAACCTCTGCCCTCTGCCTCCTGGGTTCAAGCGATTCTCCTGGCTCAGCCTCCAGAGCAGCTGGGACTACAGGCACCCACCACCACGCATGGCTAAAATTTGTATTTTTGGTAGAGATGGGGTTTCACCATGTTGGCCATCCTGACCTTAAGTGATCCGCCTGCCCTGGCCTCCCAAAGTGCTGGGATTACAGGCGTGAGCCCCACACCCAGCCCAAATGAGATTTTTTTTTGTTGATGAGCTAACCCAATAAAGAAGTTAAACTAAGGATAGGTCATCTGAGAAAGTCATTAAAAAGCTTTAGTTTCCCTTTGTTTTCTCTTTATCTTGTTTCCTCTCTCTCTCTCACCCACCCCTAATTAATTTTCACTCAACTTAATATTCCCAAATTTTTAAAGTTTTCTAGGAAGGGGCCAGGAGTAGTGGTTCATGCCTATAATCCCAGCACTTTGGGAGGCCAAAACAGGCAGATCACTTGAGCCCAGGTGTTTGAGACCAGCCTAGGTAACATGGTGAAACCCTGGCTCTACAAAAAATACAAAAATTAGCCAGGCATGGTGGTGCCCACCTGTAATCCCAGCTAATTGCAGGGTTGAGGGAGAGGGATCGCTTGAACCTGGGAGGTTGAGACTGCAGTGAGTTAATAAGATGCCACTGTACTTGGGTGACAAAATGAGACTCTTCCATCAAAAAAGAGAATAACGAAACAATTTTCTAGGAAGGGCATGAACTTTAACAAGATACATGTCTGGGCACAGTGGCTCACGCCCAAAATCCCAGGACTTTGGGAGGCCAAGGCAGGCAGATCACTTGATGTCAGGAGTTCGAGACCAGCCTGGTCAACATGGTGAAACCCTGTCGCTACTAAAAATACAAAAATTATCCGGGCATGGTGGTACATGCCTGTCATCTCAGCTACTCAGGAGGCTGAGGCAGGAGAATTGCTTGAAACTGGGAGGCAGAGGTTACAGTGAGCTCAGATCACGCCTCTGCACTCCAGCCTGGGCGACAGAGCGAGACTCCACCTCAAAAAAAAAAGAACAAAAAAAAAAAAAAACACACACACACACACAACCTAATTACAGACCTCAGGGTACAGGTACCAGAAACAGTAAAGTAGTGGGTTACAAGTAGCATCAGGTTCATTTGCAGGAGGAGTGGAACACCAATCCCAATAGTTCCAGAAGTTCTCTCCTCAACTATCTTCTGTTTTCCATGCTATCTGACCTCCACAGCTGGGGATTTCAAGGAGAACACTTTACCTAAGTGCAACTGAGTGGTTCAGCCCGGCAGCAGGCTCTGTCAGGGCTCACGGATTTATGCAGTGATATTGACAAGTCTACAGAAACCCAGATTATAAATTTAACATTTAGAACAATTGTGGGGAAAAGAAAGAGATCAGCCTGTTACTGTGTCTATATAGAAAGAAGCAGACATAAGAGACTCCATTTTATTCTGTATTTGAGATGCTGTTAATCTGTGACCCTACCCCCAACCTTGTCCTTGCAAGAGACATGTGCTGTGGTGACTCAAGGTTTAATGGATTTGGGGCTGTGCAGGATGTGTCTTTGTTAAACAAGTGCCTGAAGGCAGCTTGCTGGTTAAAAGTCATCACCATTCTCTTAATTTCAACTACCCAGGGACACGTACACGGCCTTCTGGTCGCAAGGACTTCTGCCTAGGAAAGCTAGGTATTGTCCAAGGTTTCTCCCCATGTGATAGGCTGAAACAATGCTGCTAAAAGGTTTATGGAGATGTTTGCATATGCATCTCAAGGCACAGCATTTTCCTTTAAACTTATTCATGTCACAGAGATTTTTGTTCATATGTCTTACTGCTGATTTTCTCCCTACAATGATCCCATTGTCCAGCCATTCCCTTATCTTTAAGATGGTAAAGATAATTATCAATAAATACTAAGGGAACCCAGAGACCGTAGCCACGTGGGTCCTCTGTAAGCTGAGCGCCGGTCCCCTGGGCCCACTTTTTCTTTCTCTATACTTTGTCTCTGTGTCTCATTTCTTTTCTCAAGTCTCTCGTTCCACCTAACGAGAAATGCCCACAGGTGTGGAGGGGCAGGCCACCCCTTCAAACAATAATAAATTGAAATAAATGAAATAAAACATATTCTTCCATGGGAAATTTTTAAATTAAAATAGATTTACATTATAGAAGGGACACACAAACCATCTCAAGTTGGACGATGAATTATATTATATAATGGATCTCTCTCTTTCAAAGATCTTACTTTGGACCTATGCAACCAAATGTGCGATGCAGTCCTCAGTACCTCACTGACTCTGGGCGTGTCACTTATACCCACAAGGCTTAAGTTGTTATCTTTTTTTTTTTTTTTTTAAAGAATATTATTGGCCGGGCGCGGTGGCTCAAGCCTGTAATCCCAGCACTTTGGGAGGCCGAGACGGGTGGATCACGAGGTCAGGAGATCGAGACCATCCTGGCTAACACGGTGAAACCCCGTCTCTACTAAGAAATACAAAAAACTAGCCGGGCGAGGCCTGTAGTCCCAGCTACTGGGGAGGCTGAGGCCGGAGAATGGCGTGAACCCGGGAGGCGGAGCTTGCAGTGAGCTGAGATCCGGCCACTGCACTCCAGCCTGGGCTACAGAGCGAGACTCCGTCTCAAAAAAAAAAAAAAAAAAAAAAGAATATTATTTGGCACCTGTAAGAACAGGATGATTATTTTCAAACATATCCAGACCAAAGACAACTTCTCCCATCTTCACTGGTCTGGGTCACCACTGGCTCCTCACTAGATAAATACAACCATCCCAGACAAGGTGCTTTATTTGTGCTCTGCCCCCACAACACCAAATTCATTCTTCACATAGGAGCCAGTGTGACCTTTTCAAAATAATGTCCCAAAAATAGCAAAAGAAAGAAACAAACAGCCACCATATCTTCCTCTCCCACTTTAAACCTGTCAGTGCTTCCGTCTACACTTAAAATCCCAAATGCCTTACTATGGCCGGGCAAGTCCACTGCCCACCTTCCTATTCCTCCCAGCCACTAAGTACAGGTCAGCCTTCAGGCCTCTGGACTTGCTATTCTTTCTGCCCCCATATCTTGAAAAGGCTGGTTTCTTTTTATCCTTTGGATCTGTGCTTAAATGTCCTTATTTCATCATTCTAAGATGCTACCACTAGAATGTAAGTAAGCTCCATGGGGGCAGGAACATTGTATGTTCTGCTCTACCACATCCCTACCTCTAGCACCTGGCATAGTGTCTGGCACATAGCAGGCACTCTCCACATTTGGTGAACAAATAAGCAGAAAGAAAAGAGAATTGGCAAATGTAGAGAGAGAATCAAGTCAGTTTGTGGTCGCCTATGGGCTAGGGGTGATAGCAGGGAATCAGGAATGACTGCTTAATGCATATGAAGTTTCTTTGGGAGATGATGAGAATGTTATAGAATTCAATAGAGGTGATGGTTGCACAATTCTGTGAATATACTCAAAACCACTGAATTGCACACTTTAAACTGCTGCATTATATGGCATTATTATATGATAAAATATATCAATAAGTATTATATGGGGAAAAAAAAAGGCCGGGCATGGTGGCTCACACCTTTAATCCCCGCACTTTGGGAGGCCAAGGCAGATGGATCACCTGAGGTCAGGCATTCAAGACCAGACAGGCCAACATGGTGAAACCTTGTCTCAACTAAAAATACAAAAAAATTAGTGGGGCATGGTGGCAGGTGCCTGTAATCCCAGCTACTTCAGGAGGCTGAGGCAGGAGAATCACTTGAATCCAGGAGGTGGAGACTGCAGTGAGCCGAGATCACGCCATTGCACTCCAGCCTGGGTGACAAGAGTGAAACTCTGTCTCAAAAAAAAAAGAAAGAAAATTTAAAAAATAATAGAAGGAAAAAAGAAGGAAAGGAGAGAGAAACTGTGGTTAGGCTTCAGGTTAATAATTGTTGTCTACAAAGAAACAAACAAAAAATATGAATACGCTCACACCTCTGAAACCCATACATGGATCTCCTTGGTTTCCACGAGCCACCCTTGGTTGGTTTTGATTTTTCTTTTTAAGCCTTAGAAGACAATCTAGTATGAATAGTTATACTTAAAGAAAAATAAGATAATTACTATTTGAAGAAATCAAATGTTCCATATGGATTAACAAGAACAAAGATTTTGCAAATTTCTTCTTTCAGAAACAATGTCCCACATCATGAAAACTAAGAACATAAATTAAAGGCCAAGTGATTGTTTTTCATTTATAGCATCTGAGGAAAATCACCTTTGCAAGACCCGCGCGATGGGCTCCTTTAGACTCCATGTATGCAAGGTATTTGTTGAACTCCCGGAACTCCTCCATGGAGGGTCTGAAGGTCATTATCTTACAGCTGGGGTTCAGAGGACTTTCCGCGTCGGCCACCTCCATGATGGCTAGGGCAGTGTCTGCAGAGAAGACAACAGGGTTAACAGAACTGAATTATTATGTGCTTTAGGTCATTTTTAACAAACAGTATTGCAGCTCCCCCAGCAGGAACCCTTCTCTTTCAGTCACTTCCCATTCCCTTCTACCAGTCTCACTCCCTCATCTCTGCCTGAACCCCTGAACAAACAAGGGCCTCTAGTCATTCCTCTTGCCAAGTTCCCTATGGTAGAGAACCACTGATCTGACTGTACTGTTAGCCTCCCCAAAACCCTTCCAAGTAAAAATAAATTTTCTGGGCTGGGCGCAGTAGTTCACACCTGTAATCCCAGCACTTTGCAGGGCTGAGACGGGCAGATCAAGAGGTCAGCAGTTCGAGACCAGACTGGCCAACATGGTGAAACCCCATCTCTACTAAAAGTACAAACATTAGCCGGGCATGGTGGTGCGTGCCTGTAATCCCAGTTACTCAGGAGGCTGAGGCAGGAGAATCGCTTGAACCTGGGAGGTGGAGGTTGCAGTGAGCCAAGATCTCGCCACTGTACTCCAGCTTGGGCAACAGAGTGAGACTCCAGTCTGAGCAACAGAGCGAGACTCTGTATCAAAAAATAAAGAAATAAAAAATAAATATATAAATTTTCTTTTTTTTTTTTTCTTTTGAGACAATCTCGCTATATTGCCCAGGTAGGAGTGCAGTGGCGCGATCTCAGCTCACTGCAACCTCCGCCTCCCAGGTTCAAGCGATTCCCCTGCCTCAGCCTCCCGAGTAGCTAGGATTACAGGCGCCCGCCACCATGCAGGGCTACTTTTTTTATATTTTTAGTAGAGATGGAGTTTCACCACGTTAGCCAGGCTGGTCTTGAATTCCTGACCTCAGGCAATCCGCCAGGCTCAGCCTCCCAAAGTGCTGGGATTTATAGATGTGAGCCACCAAGCCCAGACGTAAAAATAATTTTTTTTTCTTTTTTTTTGAGATGGAGCTTCGCTCCTGTTACCCAAGCTGGAGTGAAATGGCACAGTCTCAGCTTACCGCAGCCTTGACCCCCCGGGTTCAAGCAATTCCCCCACCTCAGCCTCCCGAGTAGCTCGGATTACAGGCATGGGCCACCACGCCCGACTAATTTTGTATTTTTAGTAGAAATGGGGTTTATCCATGTTGGTCAGGCTGGTGTCGAACTCCCGACCTCAGGTGATCCACCCATCGTGGCCTCCCAAAGTGCTCGGATTACAGGCATGAGCCACCGTGTCCGGCTGTAAAAATGAATTTTCTAACCTTGCAAGTTTACAAAAGATGTTGCTACTATCTACCAGTTCTGAAACAGACTCTCACTCACATACACACCTGTACAAAGGCCTAGTCTAGGCTGAGTAGAGAAGGTTAAAAATCATTAGCGTTTACTCAGGTGTGCTTCCAGATTGTCATATCATGCCTTCCTACAGTAATTAACAAGTTATCCATTCAGCAAAATAGCCAGGCATCAGGCAAGACACAGAAAAGAATGAGGATGGAGACAGAAAGGGATGGATTTTATCTTCACCTTCCAAGCGGTCTAGAGGCTGAACAAACGTCAACATAAAAATGTACACAGGGGCTGGGAGTGGTGGCTCACATCTGTAATCCCAGCACTTTGGAGGCGGGCAGATCACTTGAGGCCAGGAATTTGAGACCACCCTGGGCAACATGGTAAAACCCCATCTCTACTAAAAATACAAAAAATTGGCCGGGCGTGGTGGCACACGCCTGTATTCCCAGCTACTAGGGAGACTGAGGTAGGAAAATCACTTGAACCTGGGCGGCGGAGGTTGCAGTGAGCCGAGATCGTGCCACTGCATTCCAGCCTGGGTGATGGAGTGACACTATATTTCAAAAAAAAAAAAAAAAATGTACACAGGAAGAAGTAACTAACTCCACCTGGGTTAATGAGCAATCATTTTCCCAGAAAGGAGGAGAGTTAAGTCTTATGAGAAGGTATAGGAGTTGCCCAGACAAGAGAGACGGCACTCCAGGCAGCGGAAATATCTGGAAGTACTGCTGGAATGAAGAGTTTAATAATGTGTCTGAAGCATAGAAAGGAAAGATTATAGGAGATCAAAGTAGAAAAGTAGGCAGGTTTTACTATGAAAACACAGGCTTAGTCTTGCTATCAATAAACAGGATGATTCCTTCAGCAAACATTTATTGAGCACCTATCAAGAAATAGGCACAGAGAATGCAAAGAAGCACTGAAGTGGCTGCCTCAGGAAGGAGTCCCACCCCAACCTTCTTCTAAATCCATTAGGACCTGGCATCTGACAGCACAAACAACAAATCCTCCTGGAACAAAGTTTTCCTCTTTTTTCTTTGTTTCTGAATTTAATCTGCCTAATAGAAAAATTGAAAGTGAGGGATGGGGCAGATAAAAGGGTGAGATAGTAAGAGGTTAAAACAGAGCAGGGCTGGCCCGGGCGTGGCTCACACCTGTAATCCCCACACTCTGGGAGGCCCAGGCGGGCAGATCACTTGAGGTCAGGAGATCGAGGCCATCCTGGCTAACATGGTGAAACCCCATCTCTACTAAAAAATACAAAAAAAAATTAGCTGGGCGTGATGGCAGGCACCTGTAGTCCCAGCTATTCAGGAGGCTGAGGCAGGAGAATGGAGTGAACCCAGGAGGCAGAGTTTGCAGTGAGCCGAGATTGCACCACTGCACTCCAGATTGGGCGACAAAGCGAGACTGTCTCAAAAAAAAAAAAAAAAAACAGGGCAGGGCTACAGATAGTGATGTAGTCATTATTCATTTAAAGCAAGTTTGGCTGGGTAAGGTGGCTCACGTCTGTAATCCCAGCACTTTGGGAGGCCGAAGCAGGAGCATCACCTGAGGTCGGGAGTTCGAGACCAGTCTGACCAACAAGGAGAAACTCCGTCTCTACTAAAAATACAAAATTAGCCAGGCGTGGTGGTACATGCCTGTAATCCCAGCTACTTGGGAGGCTGAGGTGGGAGAATCACTTGAACCTGGGAGGCAGAGGTTGCAGCGAGCCGAGATCACACCACTGCACACCAGTCTAGGCAACAAGAGTAAAACTCCGTCCCAAACAAAAAAGAAAAATAAAGTTTACCTGGGTGCAGTGGGCAGTGGCTCACGTCTATAATCCCAGCACTTTGGGAAGCCAAGGCAGGCAGATCACCTGAGGTCAGGAGTCCAAGACCAGCCTGGCCAACATGGCAAAACCCCGTCTCCACTAAAAATATAAAAATTAGCCAGGTGTGGTGGCAGACATCTTTAATCCCAGCTACTTGGGAGGCTGAGGCAGGAGAATCACTTGAACCCAGGAGGCCAAGGTTGCAGTGAGCCAAGATCGTGCCACTATACTCCAAAAATAAAGTTTTTTTGTTTTGTTTTTTAAGACGGAGTCTCACTCTGTCACCCAGGCTGTTTGCCATGTTGGCCAGGCTGATCTCAAACTCCTGACCTCAGGCGATCCCACCTGCCCTGGCCTCCCAAAGTGCTGGGATTATAGGCGTGAGCCACCACACCCAGCCTAGAAAGTTTAAATGAGCATCTATCTCACAATGCACACGTGAGGAGGTAGGAGATTCATAAAAATTAAACCTCATCGCCCTTTAGGAACTTACAATCCAAAGGAGAAAATAATCTGCCCGAAAATATATTAACATATGGTAGAAAATATTCTGGATTCTCCCTGCCTCAGGAAGGGGGCTTGCAACAGGTAAAAACCTTCCAGGCTACCTTCCTACATGCCTCTGTTCACGTGTAGACAGGTACGCACCCCCAAATCCACGGGCTTCAGGATAGCAGCCTCACTCTATATAGTAAACACACAGTCCTTTAGAAGCATCTGGATCTGGTCCAGGCGCAGTGGCTCACACCTGTAATCCCAGCACTTTGAGAGGTCAAGGCAGGATCACTTGAGCCCAGGAGTTGGAGACCAGCCTGGGCAACATGGTAAAACCCTGTCTCTACAAAAAAAATACAAAAATTTGCTGGGCGTGGCCAGGCACGGTGGCTCATGCCTGTAATCCCAGCACTTTGGGAGACCGATGTAGGCAGATCACCTGAGGTTGGGAGTTCGAGACCAGTCTGACCAACATGGAGAAACCCTAAACCCTTTAGTCTCTACTAAAAATACAAAAATTAGCCAGGCGTGGTGGCACATGCCTGTAATCCGAGCTACCAGGGAGGCTGAGGCAGGAGAATCGCTTAAACCCAGGAGGCAGAGATTGTGGTGAGCCAAGATCACGCCATTGCACTCCAGCCTGGGCAACAAGAGCAAAACGCCATCTCAAAAAAAAAAAATTAGCCAGGCGCGGTGGCGGGCACCTATAGTCTCAGCTACTCGGAGGCTGAGACGGGAGGATTGCTTTACCACCCCAGGGGGCAGACAGTGCAGTGAGCCAAGATTGTGCCACTGCACTCCCACTCCAGCCTGGGTGAAAGAGTGGGACCCTGTCTCAAAAAAAACAAAACAATCTGGATCTGGCCCTCGCGTAACTACTGTGGCCTCATCCATCATCACTGTCTGCACTGTACTTTATGCTCCAACAATACTCACTGACTTATGCTTCTGTAAACAAGCAAAGCTTTCTGTGTTTCTGCACGTTATTCCTTCCCCTCACAGCAGCCTCTGCCTGCTTCCTCACCTGACAAACTCCTGCACACCCTTGAGATTCCTAATCCTCTGGAACAGGCCTGCCTGACCCATCACTGTGTTCCCGACTCCCTCTCTGCGTTCATTGTAGCAGTTGCCTGTCCCAGCTGCTGGCACTTCCAACCACCCACTGAGCCATCAGCTCCCCCAGGGAAATGCCGGCTCACCACCTCTTTAAGCCCTAGCATACAGTCTGGCACTCCAGCCTGGCTCACAGTATCTGCTGCAATAATTATTTGCCAGCTGAATGATGGAATAAGTGCCAAATTGTTAACATATTTACATAATGATACCAAATTCAGGAAAAGGAAAGCACTAGTCCCAAACACAGAAAAGTTACTTAGAAAACAGATTTCCCTGCATGACTGGTAAA